ATGGTCAGGGGGCCCTTTACCTTTACCTTTAATAATAATAATAAATTTTATTTATAGCCTCCCTTCCCCGGCCAGAGCTGGACTCAGGGCGGCTAACACCAGTAAAATTACAGTAAAAACATAATGGGGGGCGGGGACCAATTTAAAATACAGGTTAAAATGCAATTTAAAATGCAGCCTTATTTTAAGAGTAGCCGATAGATCAAGACCGTAAGGGGAAGGGCAACATAAGGGTCAGACTGCACAGGCCAGGCGGAACAGCTCTGTCTTGCAGGCCCTGCGGAAAGATATAAAGTCCCCCAGGGCCCTAGTCTCTTGTGACAGAGCGTTCCACCAAGTCGGGGCCAGTACTGAAAAGGACCTGGCCCTAGTTGAGGCCAATCTAACCACCTTGTGAGCTGGGACCTCCAAAATGTTGTCATTTGTGGACCTTATGGTCCTCCGCGGGGCATACCAGGAGAGGCAGTCCCGTAGGTATGTGGGTCCTAGGCCGCATAGGGGTTTAAAGGTCAAAACCAGCACCTTAAACGTGACCCTGTACTCCATCGGGAGCCAGTGCAGTTGGTAAAGCACTGGATGAATGTTTTCTGATTCACACATGACATTTGTCATGCGACAGGGAGGACTAAGATCAGCTCCCTTGGTAAAAATATAGAGAGACATACAGTGTTATATTCATGCAAAACAAAGCAAAGCAGTTTTTAAAAGACGGTGGCTTCCATTGCTGAGAATGCTAGAAAATGTACACGCGCTCTAGTGGCATTTTATGAAGACAATAGACTTTTTTGTTTCAGTTTACTCCGCAGCAAACGAGAATCAATTACCGGGCGGCACCAATTACTGTGGCATGTTAATGAAAAAAATAAATAATTGAGGGTATGGATAAACATAAGCGCTGTGACATTTGATGGCAACTTTTGTGCAAACTGCTGGCGTCTGCAGGAACAGAAGCCGGGGGGGGGGGGAGTGCGCATCAGAACGGCTTTGTTTTCTGACGGGGTGTATTATTATATCCTTGGGGGGAGACGCACACAGCCTTTGCCTAATTGGATTCTCTCCCTTTCTGCAACTTCTTCTTCTTCCCCGACGCTCACACATAAATATTTAAATCGCAGTCACGCTGGCTGGTAAAGTTTTTGATGTACCTATTGCTGAGGAAATGTTCCGGCTATATCAGCCTATAAGTCTTGCTTTTTTTTCCCTTCTTCTTCCTGGGTTTACTTTAAATGAACAATCTCTCTCAGGACCAGAACCACATCCTGGTGTGATGGGCTGAGGGGCTTGTTTTGTACAGGTTGAAAAGAATTTGAGACGAGTGGGGAAATCCATCATATTCTTGCGCGCACGCACACACACACACACACACACCAAGTTTATGTAATTTTTAATTACTGTTGGATTTAGGGCAATGAGTGTAGGGGTTTGTTGTTTGTTTTGGAGAGGGCAGGATCCAAAGAACTCTGAAGTTATTTGTATGTTCCCAAGGGGGCTTTGGCATCATGCTTCTGTTGTCTCTCCTCCACAGTCTCTCCATGAAACCAAGGGGAATTTCAGAAGCATTTTCCGTGTGATCTCAATCCTGTTCAAACAGTATGAGTCAAAAGTCCCCACTAAAGAGCACCTTAGATCTCAGCCACAGTGTTCAAGTACTGAAAACAGCAAGTTGACAATGACTCCTGTAAGTTTCTATCCATACACACATGCTACGTCCAAGGCCGGCACAGCCACTGGGCAGAGGGAAGCAACCACCTCAGGTGTTAGGCTTCGGAAAATTGGATCCCACCCCTGGTGGCAGTAATTAAGCAGATCAAATGAAAGATCAAACCTATCCATTCCTAAGGAAATCAGCCCTGACTGCTCACTGGAAGGACAGATCCTGAAGCTGAGGCTCCAATACTTTGGCCACCTCATGAGAAGAGAAGACTCCCTGGAAAAGCCCCTGATGTTGGGAAAGATGGAGGGCACAAGGAGAAGGGGACGACAGAGGACGAGATGGTTGGACAGTGTTCTCGAAGCTACCAGCATGAGTTTGACCAAACTGCGGAAGGCAGTGGAAGACAGGAGTGCCTGGCATGCTCTGGTCCATGGGGTCACGAAGAGTCAGACACAACTAAACGACTAAACAACAAACAACAACAACCACTTCGGACATTTTTGGGGAGGTGGACTGCGATCCAGCGCAGCACACGGAACGCCGTTTACCTTCCCGCTGGTAAGCAGTCCCTATTTATCTACTTGCACCCGGGGGTGCTTTCAAACTGCTTGGTTGGCAGGCGCTGGGACCGAGCAGCGGGAGCGCACCCCGCCACGGGGATTCGAACCGCCGACCTTTCGATCAGCAAGCCCTAGGTGCTGAGGCTTTTACCCACATCGCCACCCGCGTCCCCCCCTCTGGACTATGCCCCTCTGCAAACCACTGTTCTAAATCAATACTGTCCTCCTGCCCTTGGTTTGCCACAGCACCTCCTTTGCTCTTCCCTTCTGTTGGAGGGCAGAAGCAAGAGTGCTCTAAACTAAACTAGCCAGCAGCTCTCAGGTGTGCTGAGGGTTGCTGCAGTCCTGCTGCCAGCATGGATGTTTGAGTCAGCCCCAAGTCCAGTCGACTTCTGAACATGGAAGCAGAGGAGCGTCCATCTTTGAAATGTCTTGGGAAATGTCTGGCTACATCCACAGAAAATCCCTCTTTTGCACAACTATCAAAGGTGCTGGTGTCATGTCCTGTTTCCCCCTGGCCACCCAAGCTCCATGGTTCGCAATATCCAAATTGTTATGTACTGAAGTTCTCACCCTGGGCCAGCAAGGGGATACTGTAGATAGTTATGCAAATGAAGGATTGAAAGTGACGTTCCAGTGATTGGATAGTTTGTATGCAAATGAAGGATCGAAAGTGACGTTCAGTGATTGGATAGTTTTAGAAAGTTGCAACAGTTACGTTGTTCTGGAGCTCTATATAATTAGGCTGACTAAGCTCCTCTGTTCAGTTCTGTTCCAGCTTACAAATAAAGAGCTGCTTTGGAAGAATCACTGTGTCGTCTGATATGTTCACCCACAACTTAACACAAATGGAATTTATAATCCTGATTCACACATAATGCTGAACCAAACAGTGGCTTAGCTTGAACTAGCAAAGGAGTGGATTCCCAGACCAAAGATCACAGATGCTGCACTCCTCCCTGCTGCACTAATGCATGACTAAGCCATGGTTTCGCTTACCATTATGCGGTGGCAAGGGACACGGGTGGTGCTGTGGTCTAAACCACTGAGCCTCTTGGGCTTGCCAATCTGAAGGTCGGTGGTTTGAATCTCCGCAACGGAGTGAGCTCCTGTTGCTCTGTCCCAGCTCCTGGCAACCTAGCAGTTCAAAAGCACACCAGTGCAAGTAGATAAATAGGTACCGCTGCAGCGGGAAGGTAAACGGCATTTCCATGCGCTCTGGTTTCCGTCACGGTGTTCTGTTGCGCCAGAAGCGGTTTAGTCATGCTGGTCACATGACCCGGAAAACTGTCTGTGGACAAATGCTGGCCCCCTCGGCCTGAAGGCGAGATGAGCGCCACAACCCCATAGTCGCCTTTGACTGGACTTAGCAGCCCAGGGGTCCTTTACCTTTACCTTACGTCCAAACTCAGGCTTGTGGTTTGTTTCCCCCAGGCAAACCATGAGCAGTAAATGAAGAACAAACCATGGGTCACCCATTGGTTGTTTTTCTGGAGTGATACTTTAGTTGAGATTCCTGCATTGCAGGGGGTTGGACTAGATGACCCCTGGGATTCTTTCCAACTTTACGATTCTATGATTCAATGAGACAAACTATGAACCTGGGCTTGATATGTAATGCTACCCCAAACCGTGGCATAGCCTAAGAAACACAGCAACAGCAGAAGTGGAGCAGCAGCATAGCAGCCATGATCTTCACCCCAGGAACCTGAACCCTTGGCTTACACTGGGCCATGGTTTGGCTTAGCATTCAATAGAAACTGGTTTATTCACTTTCCCTTTTTTCTCTCCACCCCTCGAACTCGCTCTTTCACACACACGAGAACATGTGGCACGATGTTAGGATATTTCTGTTCCACCTTAAAAGGGAGCAGGCTTTGTGAGTCACAGAGTCTGCGTATTTCCTGTTTCACAGGATGTTTATGTTTTCTATTGCTTTCGTTTCTCTCTCTCGGTGCCTCAACACTGAAGCAGGCAGTCATGTTTTTCTCTGTTCTGACTAACGCAGAATAAACTTAAAACAATGCTCTCCTGCGTGCATCTTTTGCTGTGCATTATCTGCTGATAAGAGTGTGCATCAGCCTTGGAATGTGGCAAGCTATTTCTGGAGCTCATGTCGCTAATTGCTGATACTGCGTGTCTACGGGAGATCGATGGACGTCCAGAGGTGACGTGGGGCCATGATGGACTTTGTCTCCCTGGCAGTATCCCAACACACCATCCACTGGAAACCTGAATTCGAAATATGTCTTTTAAATATCTAGCATAGGAGCCAACTCCTAGGGGCTGAGGTCCCTTTGGCTCCCCCAATATAATATTAGAGGGGGCCAGCCCCCAGCCACAACTTAATGGGCATTGCCATTCAAATGTTGTGCATGAGCCGCATCTTATGACTGAGTATGCACGGCAGGGCTTACCTGCCCCCTCCCCCATATACAATGGTACCTCTGGTTGTGGACACGATCCGTTCCCGGGTGCCATTTGCACCCCAAAAAGTCCATAGCCAGAGCGGCGCTTCTGCTCATGTGCGAAGCACAATAGAGCGTTTCTGCGCATGCATGTACCGCGCACAATGCTTCTACGTGTGCGGCGAAACCCGGAAGTAAACACTTCTGGGTTTGCAGCATTCTTAACCCGAAAAAACGCACCATGAAGTGTTTGCAAGAAGAGGGATATCTGTATTGCATTGAAATTGGCACCCAGGATATCCAATACCCAAATGTGGCCATTTTGAATTGCTGAAACAGGCCCAGTTTCAGATTTGCGGGTTTGAGGGCGTCACTCACCGCCACCAGAATCTGCATCGCACTGTGCATGACCTCGATGTAGCGATATTCCAAAGCGCAACCGATCACGGAGACGTAGGAATGGCTGTCCAAGCCCTTGATGCCGACCATGGGAGTCTCCTTCCTTACACATCCAGGACCGTTTTCACTCCACCAGGACTGGTGCCGGGAGATGTTGAAGGTCAAGAGCTCACTGTCCTGCAGAGGGAGAAAACACACACAATAAAAACAACAACCCAGAATATTAATCTGATTCACATATTCACATATCTAATTCACATATCTAATTCACATTTCCAATCTCTAGTTGTTGCTGAATCGATTTTCACTTTGCACAGGTCCACTCCCTGGCTTCTTCAGTTAAAGAGAGCAAAGGGTTATAATAAATAATAATAAAATTTATTATTTATGCTCCGCCCATCTGGCTAGGTTTCCCCAGCCACTCTGGCCGGCTCCTAAAAGAATATTAAAAACAGGATAAAACATCAAACATTAAAAACTTCCCTAAACAGGGCTGCTTTCAGATGTCTTCTAAAAGTCAGATGGTTGTTTATTTCCTTGACATCTGATGGGAAGGCATTCCACAGGGAGGGCGCCACCACCGAGAAGGCCCTCTACAAATGCCTTAGAAATGTTATTCATTTATTAACTATTTGTACTTGCAGCCCACCAAAAGGTCCTGGACAGGTTACAAAAATATAGCAATAAAAATAAGTACCATGTACCATTTTATTTGGGACACGGGCAGCGCTGTGGGTTAAACCACAGAGCCTAGGACTTGCTGATCAGAAGGTTGGCGGTTCAAATCCCCACAACAGGGTGAGCTCCCGTTGCTCGGTCCCTGCTCCTGCCAACCTAGCAGTTCGAAAGCACGTCAAAGTGTAAGTAGATAAATAGGTACCGCTCTGGCTGGAAGGTAAACGGCGTTTCCGTGCGCTGCTCTGGTTCGCCAGAAGCGGATTAGTCATGCTGGCCACATGACCCGGAAGTTGTACGCCGGCTCCCTCGGCCAATAAAGCGAGATGAGCGCCGCAACCCCAGAGTCGGTCATGACTGGACCTAATGGTCAGGGGTCCCTTTACCTTTTTTTACCATTTTTTAAATTTGTTATTACATATATGTCCCAACTTTTAATCCGAGGATCTCAAGATGATGTACATGTTCTCTCCCTTCCCCGTTTTATCATCACAACGACCCTGCGAAGTAGCTTAGGCTGACTGGCTCAAGGTTGCACAAGCAAAAGTCCTTCCATGGAGATTCCGCTGATGGGGCGAGTTAGGTGAAGCCTGCCTCATATCTCTGTGCAATTTGTGATTTATTAATTTTTTTAAAAATGCTCCTGGAAATTCGCCATCCTTTTATTGCAAATTTCTCTTAAAAACACACTTTTTTGCGGTTTTGACAAATATGCCCATTTTTACGGTGATTTCCATTTATATAATGCAGCTTGGCATGCAGTTCTGCCTAATATATGTTTTATTTACATCACATATGCACTTTTAAACACCTTGTTTGGCTGGATCACAAAATTCGGGAAAGTGTAAATTTCAAAGGCTATGGTTCGCACACTGGTTCAAGAAGTGCAAATTAAACAGATTCTCACGCAAAAAAACCCAAATTTCTCCTCCACCCCTAACTACAGAGATAGCATACTGCGTACTCACAGAGGGAAACACAGCAGCTGAATTCGTGCGAGTTGACAAGTCAGAACTGGAGTTATAAGAAATATTTTCCTACCGGGCCGGTTTAATTTCCTCTGTGCCACGAGCACTAAGCATCCTCCATAAATTCTCTTGCCAATTCCCTTTGGTATTCTGATGCATTGCACGTTCAGGTCTTCTATTGACCTCCGTCACAATTAACCTCTTGGGTCAAATTACTCCAAGAAACTGACCCCTGGCATGATCAATAGCTGCTTAATGTACATCTCCCTGCAGAATTTCAAATCATCTCTCCTCTGCTGTTTCAGTTATCATGTGGTTCCCTTGCACCTTTCCCCACCTTCCTGCTTGGTTCCATGTTTGCTTCCCTTGATTTTGTAGCTGATTGTATGCTGGGGACAGTTCAGGAGTCTGCAAGGAATAGGAAGGACACACCAATTCCTAATAGGAACAAGCTGGTGTCACCCGGATGCTCCAGAACCTCCAAGTGTCGCTGTTTTCCAGGGACAGTCCTGGATTTACAGAAGCCATCCCAGTTTCTGATTTGATTCTGGAATGTCCAGCTTTTCCTTGGGATGCCCCATTTCCTCAGAGAAATGTTGGAGGGTATGGTGTTCTGCACTACAACTCTCATCTGCTGGCGAGGGCTGATGGGTGCATTAGTCCAAAATATCTGGAGGGCACCACGTTGGGGAAGTTTGGGCCCTCTCTTTGACATAGCTGTCAACTTACAGATTTGAAAATAAGGGAGCGGCAGCCTCAAAAATAAGGGATCAGCAGCCAAAATAAGGGATCAACAATTACTTTGATAAAATACATATTTTGTTGCATGCAAATGGCTTTAGATACCTATTAGGTCCATAAATTACCATATGGCATATATTCAACACAAAAACCAGCAACAGTTTGTTGTTGACAAAGGACAGCTGGACATAGAAAGGGCCCCATTACTTTCAGTAGCTTATTTAAGGGACATCATCAATAAGGGACAGCAGCGGGACATGGCTCTGGGATAAGGGACTGTCCCGCCAAATAAGGGACGCTTGACAGTTATGCTCTTTGAAAAGGCCCTCTCTGTCTTCAGCATCACAAACGTAGAGTTTCTGCTCATTTCAGGTGCTTGCTCCAGTTTCCCAGCATCGAAGTGTTGGTAGGAGAGAAAGCTTACAGTATTTCTCAGCTTGCAAAAGGATTTCTTAACCGGAGTAATGAGGTACAGTTAACATCTCTTAACTCAACGCAGCTTAAAGAACCAAACACCTTTTCACTCTGGGCGGCAGATAAATAATGCGCCCTGCAAGCACCCCGGCCAGATTACTTTTATATTGCAGATAAAGCTGCGATCATTTAATTGTCGTGCCTCTTCCTCGTGCCGCTCATGAATGTCCCTCTGCAATTGGCAGAGGCAGCTGAATCAATCACTCCGAGCCCAAGACTCAGTGCTCCCCATAATCCAGTGAGTTTAATCCATTTAAAGGCTGGCATCTCCAAAAAGTCTTTCCAAGCAAAATCAATAAATTTCACTTACACCTTGCAGTGGGGATAGAGAAGGGGAAGGGATGGCTACTGTTTTGTCTAGGTCAAGGGACCTTTTACAACCTGAGGGATGCATTTCCTTATGGGCAAGTGGTGGTGGGATACCAAAGACAGGTCAGAGGATGAGGCAGAGGCAGAATGGTTGGATGCTGAACAAGCAACAGGCTTGAGTGAGAGAGAGGAGCAGGGGCAGAAGGCCCTGCAGATGCAGGACAAGCGACTAAGGAGGAGAAGCAGGGGACAGAGGATGCAGCAACTTCACAGGAGCCTGCCAGTCCTGCTGTCAGGGTCGTCTTACCCATAGGTGCTAGGGATGTGGGGCACCCAGACACTAGGCTCTCAGGGGCGCCAGGCCGAGAGTCCAGGGCCCGAGAGTTGAGTCCGGGGCAGAGCCCGCCCATCCGCCGGAGCACTGCGACAGGCTCTTTTGCTGTGGGTGGCTCTGCACTACGAGTTTGGGGATGACCGAGCCAGCGAGTCGCTGAGGCAGGCAGCCTACTCCATCCTCCTATGCACCTGGGACTGGGCAACCGGGGGGGGGGGGGCGCCAGGTAGATCTTTGCACCCCAGTGCCGCAGCTCTGCCTGCTGCATTCAGCTCCCCTTCTTGCTTATCTCCAATGACATGGAGGGCCTTGCATGTAGCTAAACAAAGAGCACAGAAGACCCCTCCTCAATGGAGCTGAAGTCTGCTTGGAAAACATCTGGCCAATGAGGAGATGTAGAGGGAAGTGGGAGGCACAGGTCGTCAGTTCTGGCAACTACTTCACTGGCCTTGCCCAGAGGTTTCTCTGTTTGTATACTGTTTCCTTGAAGAAAGAACCAACTTCACTGCTCATCTCTGAGTCTCCATGCTGACCTGTAGCTGAGCCAGCCCTGACATACACACATAAACGCATCTCTGTCCTCCACCAAGGCAAGCAAGAGGCGTTATCGGAGTTTAAGCACACAGGTAGGAATATCCAATGAGGGCCTGGCATGGGGAGAATCCACTGGAGGGATGCCTTTGGCCTCCGGGTCTGGGGTTCCCCACCCCTCCTAAGTGGCACTCACATGTCTGCATTTTGCACATGCCTAAAGCAACTTCATAGACGTTGTTCCCACAGCAGCCACCCCAGTGCTTCAGGGAAGCCAGCATGCAAGACTTGAACTCAGCCCAAAGGAGAGGTCCGTTAAGAGTAGGAAGGGCAGAAATGTTTTAAATGAATAAACAACACCTGAGTTTCCTCCCCTCCAAAAAAATTGTTTTCATTTGCTCTATGATTCTGCAATCTTCAGAACCATTATGGCCCCAAATTATTTTAATGAACTATTACAAGCATTTCCCTGCTTTGAGTCAGTGCCCTAAGGCTAATATACTCTTTTGACCAGGATCTTTGGCTGCAACTCTCCGGGGGACACCTGTACTGATGGAGAGTAATAGGCGAAAGCACTCAAGGCAAATAGCTTATTGACCTCTGTCAGTAAAGAGAGCATTATCTGGGAAACTAGAGTGACCATCCTCAAGTTCCCCTTTGCAATCTTCCCACCTTAGCTTTCTTTTCTCCTACTTGGACACTGCCACCTTCAACCCACCTGAAGTTTCATTAGCACGGGGAACTCTTGCGCAAGCAAGCTTTCCCCCATTCATTTCAACAGAGGGAGCAGATCTGAACATCCATGCACACAAGGCATCTACAAGCACCAGCTCCCTCCACTGAAGTGAATGGGAGAGCCATTTCCAAGATGGAAAACCCAGAAACCCACCTGCCTGTCAGTGGAGACGATACAGAGATAGATGCATCAATGGGTCTGACTTCTAGATGTTGTAGACAAGTCATCAGCCAGGGCTTGAAGGCAATAGTCCTCTCTTGCAGTTGCTCGCCAGTAAGTGTAACTCAGTGGTCCACTGTCCCTCAGCTTGGAGGTTTCCCCTTTTCCATCACCAGGGCCAAATTTAGAGGACCTGAACATTGAAATGGCTACCAGCAACAGCTTTCTAGGGTCTTAGACAGCAGTCTTT